TGAGCCGCTTACAAGGGCTCATACTGACGGGCGGCTTCAAAGGCAAGCACAAAGGAACAGGCGGGAACTGCAACTGCCTAGCGCAACTCCGCGGCGACCACTGTACATTCCCTGTGAGGCACCCGACTTGGCCGAAGGCGGGGTGAAATGATCCAAACATGTTGCTTGAACATGCTTGCCCTCCACTGGACTCTGCACAGGGGGAGGAACCAGTGTGTTGCCCGACCTAGTTCGCTTCACGCCGACCCTGGGCGATGAGATGGGAGTGTCACTCACAGGCGCCTCTTGAGCCAGCTTGGTATGGATAATGTTGTCAAGCGATGGCCCACAAGCGGGATCGCCACGCGCATGAGGGTTTGACGCCGGACTTTCCAGTCCAGTCCAAATCGCATCTTCCTGCTGGACGGGCAACCCGTGATCATGACATGAAGACACTGATTCACTCTCGGTGTCACTGGGCAAGTCAGAGAGTGGCACGCAATTGCTCGCGAGCCCAGACATGCTTGGCCCACATGCAACGCACTTGCTGACCATCCGTCACCCGCCCACTGCAGGTGACTTGCACGAGGCCTATCGCCAAAACGCTACCGTCACTTACCTAGCAGCATAATGCTAGCCAACAAATGTCAACATGTGTACATCGCAATATCACATATCATGAACCCGTGAAATCACAACATACGCTAGAATTACACGTGTTGTATTTCGACATGGGGTTCATGTTTGAGCCGCTTGTGGCTGTAAAAGCATCCGTGCAAGTGTTGAACCCAAAATGTTAAAACAGCTTGAGCAAGCATAAAACCAGTAAGCTTGTACCTCCAGAAGGTACCCTATAGTACCCTATATGCTATATTAATTTCCATGTTCTTTTCCATTGTCCCTATATAGCCCCAGTATAACCCCAACATAATCCCCAATATTTACAAGAAGGGATTCAAGACCCAAACGTTCTCGTAGATCTCGCTGCGCAATTGCCGTACACCGATCAAGAAAACGCAATCCGTAGATAGTTAACGGTGAGCCCTACATGCAGCCTTCTTTAAGGCTTTTCCAAACCCATTTGAAACATGCCTTCAGCATAAACCAAAAAAACTGTGAATGCCAAAGCCCCCACACCCCAAATCCCAAGGTCCTGAAAACCCAACAGAACTCTAAGACCCAAACATCTTGAGCCTTTGAGTAATGAATGGCCTCAGTGTCCAATGCGACAACAACTTCTCGGGCGAGATCCGTACCCTGGCAAATTTGCCGCTGGCTAGTAGAGAACGAAGAAATTGAGAAGAACATGGAAACCCCATCTTGTTATTTGGTATTTTACCGGGTTGCTATACGTATCCATTCCTCCAGTCCCACTACGGTAGCAGCCAGCAAGCAAGGCGGGCATCTGGAGCTTTTGGTTGAGGGTCCGGGTTGAGGGTTTAGGGCTGAGGGTATAGACCAAGGGGTAGGGATTCTTAGTTCGCGGTGATATGGGCGCTCAGCTCGGGATGCCGGCAGAAAGAATAGGGTGTTGCACAGGGATTGAGGGGGTTACCTCGGGTTAGGAGGGATTACATCTGGGATGTTGGGGTGTCCGATGTAAGAATGAGAAAGAAAGTTCTACGCGGAGTGAGGCATGGTTTACTCTCTCCCCCAAAATCGGGAAAGCCAATGTGCAAGGGAACGTCAGGTCATGATTAGATCCACATATTATAGCAGCCCACATTAGATTAGCTTTGCACGCCGTTATACGTGTTCTTTGCTTCAGGTTGAGGCTTCAACAGCAAAGTGAACTGTACGGGAATGCCAGGTTTTTAGAAGGTCGGTTTGTCATCCTTGCCCCTTGCTTCCTGGTGGTTAGTAGGAGATGAAGGAATGCGTTATGTGGACTGCGCTATAATGAGTATGGGGCTCCATACCTTCACAGCATCGCTCAACACGAACCTGAAATGAGTTTGGTGGCCCTGGTCTGTTACGAAGACCATCACTCTGCGTTGATGGGGCAAGCCGCTAAGGTACTAGATTTTCAGCAAGACCTGGCTCAAAACCACGTAAGAACTCAGTTCACTCTGGGAACCTTCCAACCACCACATTGCTATGCGGAAATGTTTAAGGCGTGAAATTGGAAACCTCATTTCCCTGCTGCGGCCCCCGGCCGGGCAAATGCTTCTGGCTGCTTTGCGTCAGTCTTAGGGACTTCTTTATGCCGGACTAGTGTAGCAGAAACCTAGGTCACATGTTGTACTCAAAGGATGGGAGTCATCACAAACCTGACATATCCTCCGCCTCCTGCTCCTACTACTCGTGCTGCTGCTACGACGACTACCACTATTACTGCCACTACGCTAAATCAGTTCAGCGCCTATGAGTGCATGTTTCTGTTGCAGTGGCATCACAGCAGTAGTGGCACATTAGGGGCTTCAGGATGTTGACAGTTGGAAGGTTCCGACGCCTCGCAGACAAAAACCATGTATGGTAGAGTTTCTCAAGTTCTTGGTCCCCCAAGTAGGACACCTACAGTAGTATACTCATTCAACAATATTCCTAAGGAACACAATAAAGCCTCACCAAAAATCCTTAATACAACCTTACCTTATATGCTTTGAGATTGTGGAGCTGGCGCAGAACAGAATGACTAAATGAGGCATAGGGCTCAGGGGTCTAGGGTTGACCATCCTCATGGGCCGGCGGTGTCAAACACATTGGCATCACATGGAGACGCAAATGGATAGGCAAACTGGTAAACCCAATTTCCGATGCATGGCCATGTAGGCCGTTGACAAAGCTGCACACGCTTCCCAAAGAAGCTCTGCGCTTCAAAGCCCACAGATCCCTGTGGATCCAAATAGCCCGATGTAGATAATATTTACAGACTTTAGGGCCGCATGTATGTATTACATGCATACTTGGATACCTATATAACATATAACCCCCATATACCCCAACTTCCCATGTCCTGGTCCATTTGATTGTCCATGTCATTCTCCATTCTTTGCATACTTGGATCCCAAGGGAATTCGCAGCATACAAGAGCTGTACAGGGCAGTGCCAGCTTCCGGGGTTTAGGGTTTCGGGGTTTAGGGGTTAAGGGTTTAGGGTTACTCCACATCACCTGAGCGTGCAAACTCTCAAACTCATGAAGGAGTGGATAAAAGCAGTCCTTGGCCGAAGCTGCTCCAAAATGTCATACTGCCTACAAACAAACCGCCCCAGACCCAATCCAACCCCTAACCCCTCCACTCAACTTAAAAGACAAAAAGCCCACCCGCCACACTACCAAACCGCACAGGCCAATACGCGCCAGCCTTCGGCAAGTCTATTCTCAAGTCCGTCTGCTCGTTGTGGGGATGGAAGTTGATGGCAAAGATGCATCCTGATAAAAGCCACGCATCTGCTACGTACAAAATCATTGGCCTTGCTGGGTTAATGCGCATTGGATTGCTTTGAAGGAGGGGAAGGCAGTCTAAATCCCGGATAAGTCTGGTACGTCTCCCTCCCTTGCAAAAGCATTAACAGCTTGGGAGACAAAGCTATGAACATACTTGCAGATACCACGACACATGCTAACGACTGCACACAAAGACCATATTTATTCATTTATGCATACTGGACTTCACCATGCACCCCGCAACTACCATGCCATCCGGCTCGTGCTGCCGCAGCAGAAGGCTAAGCCCCTAGCCACTTCGCACCCACGCCAGGACTTTCTTCTCCTCGTCCGCGGCAACAATGGTGTGCTTCGGCGACTTGTACCACCTGGCGTATCTTCGAAAAGGCAGGGACACAGAAACAAGCGCAACAATCCCATGGACCCCAGCTTGACCCGTATAAAAACTACGAGTCACGTATATCCCTGTGATTCCTTGCCAACCCCTTCAAACTGAGGGCACAGCTGTAGTGCAGCGCCCAGTCTGTTCAGGAAGAGGTCGAAGATGTCCAGGTGCCTTGCACAGGAAGAATGCTACCATGCAAATAACCCGCACACCACCATCACCACCACTCAGAGCCCTTCGTTCCTATCAACTCCAACCCTGTGAACCGTTTAACTCCAGGCCCAATGCCTGTCTTCTACACATGAACATTGTTGAAGGTAATGTCAACTAATCTGTGCCTTATATTGCAAATAACGTCTAACCAGGCTTCACAGCTGCCGTTGCCCATGCTCCCGCACCGGGCCCCCGGCTTGTACTTCAGACCGGTAGTTTCCTCAGAGTCTCAGGGGGCTACTGGCGGTACATGCAGGAGAGACAATTTCAGAAGGTTTTTGTATGGATCAGACTGAGGATACATCTGTCAATGCTTTTTCCGAGAATCATATGGGTGGTTGTCAAAAGTATGGTCCCTTTTGGGGTACCCTAAATATTAGGTGCCCTATTATAATAGGGACCCAAAAGGGACCATAATTTTGACAACCACCCATATGGATCACTAAAACTCAGGGCATTAGGATAGGGCTTTCAAGCTCATCAGGTTGGCTTCCACACGGCCCCGAAACAGGGACCAGTTAATTTCGACTTGATTCTAACCTGTACGAGGTCTATATTGGGTGTCCAAAGCTTGTGGTCCCTGGTCTCTGTTATGAAAAACATGGTACATTGGGCTTTGTTTTGGCCCCGATAAGCATGGCAACCCCCAGATGACTGCTGTCAACATGAAATTTTTCGTCGAGGAACATGCAAAGAGCTAGTAGGAGGCTTCCGGGATTCATATTGAATCTGTTGAAGTAGCCGATATGACGTGCTGCATGTAGAGCCAACTTGGCATTCGGTGGCTTCTGAACCTCTGGGACTGGAGGTTCCGTACCTTAAGCAGACTATGCAGAACATCTCGCTGGCATGATGGGATCACTTGTCGATTCATGGACTAGGGCAGAGAGCGTGACCTTTGTGGTATGGAGCTATGCAAGGCTCCGGTGGCCACCCTCAACTGGCCCTACAACCTAAACAGTGTCCCCTTGTGCAGCAGAGACTCAGCCAGTTTGTACGGGATTGCGCACTTGTCCTGCACTGCAAACCAGCATTGAAGGGCAGCGGGGCTTACAGTAGGATGTTGACGCGGAAATCATAGCCCACTAGATGACGCAGACGGAAAATCCTCTCCGTAGAGTTTCCACATATGTTAATTTCCCTAAATAGGGGGACCCCGACATAAACCGCAAAATACCATACTCCTTATTATGGGGACCCCAGAAAGGTACCCCCCAAAGTTGGGAAACCCCATATTCCGTGCGTAGTGCACGTATAGCCCTAGAAAGATGGACATTGACCCTTGGAATCCTTCGACCAAAGCCATAGACAATAATAGTACTAGTGCAGGCCCATGGTAGTACTGCACTTAACAGGTTGAAGCTGGGGCACACCGCTCACAGTTCATCGCGTGTACAGCGAGAATAGTCTAGTAGCCGCGTGTCAGGTATATCACAAGCATGAACCTGTTTTCAGGGTTCTTGCTCGGAAGGATACTACTGTCTTGAAGCATCTGTTTGAAGGTTTTGCCTTGAGAGCTCGCCACTTCATCAAATTGGCAGACCAGGGCAGTGTACTAGAAACCCCTAAAGCCTATAGTCCCCCTTAAGTAGAAAGAATGCAGGGTATATGGGGATCTTATTATAATAGGTCCAAGGCCATATTCCACCTACTGAAGGGGGATTAATAAACATTGAGTCTGTTCTGATTTGGACCAGGTGGCCCAGGCGCAAGATTCCAACTCAGAGCTCTGGCTGTTGGTTGGTCGAATAGGTGCTTAGGGGGGAATGCGGGACGGAATCGTATAGGAGCAGGTGAATGTAGGAAATTACAGATCCATCCACTCCCCCTTAAGCACCAGCAAGTTGTAGGCGCATTTTACACAAATTGGGTCTCCCTGTAAGGCCACAGGTAACATAGCCCTTGCTGTAGGTATCGCCGACCTTCTTGTAATTGTTCGCGGCTCGAGGTAGATCGATCGGATCTATCATGCCAAACCTGAGAGGCTCTTGTGAGGTCAATAGCTTTCAAAAGCTTTCGGTGAGTTGTATGATTCGGGTCCTGCTCCCTCCCACTAACATTCTATACTGGGGGTCATATTAGGGGAACTATTAAAAATATATTGTAAATATCATCTAACGGTTAATGAATGGGGGCAGTACCCAATCTTTGACAATCTTTCACCCTATATTCTGGGTTGGCTCCTAGAAGCCTTTGCAAAAATGTTCGTATATGGCGTCCCCTATTAAAGCCATCAGGGGAAATATTAAATGAGCCCTGGACTAAAGTCCTAGTATATTCCTTCATTGGTCCCCCCTAAAACCCTGTATATTCCCCTATGGGCCCCCCCCCAATCTAACTGTCGTCCATAGCTCAAATATCTCAGCTGCCTACCCAGTATTCGGAAGGCACCACAGGGGCCTAAATAGTTGTCAATATCATTTTGAGGTCCATGTGAGGTACCATATGCTTTACTTTTACAAGGAATATGGAACCCTAAACCCTAAACCATAATATTGGTAACTATTTAGGCCCCTATAGTAGAAGCTCAAGGCCTGCTTGGGTTTGGCAAGTGGGTATGCCTAAGGGCCCAAGTCCTTAAGAATCATGGGTTTAGAGTTTTTGAGGGTTGTTTATGGTTTTAAGGTTTTTTTGAGGGTTTAGGGTTTAGGTTCCCTAAACGTCCAAGTCCTTGACTATCGTATACTCGCGTTTCGGGTTTGGGGCTTTTTAGGGCTTAGGATTTGGGATCCCTAGGGGTCTAAGTACCCCCAGTAGTCATATACTTATCCAAAACCTGTACTGCAATTACTATTAGTCCCACACCACCGCCCTCCATTATTGAATATTCCCGATATGTTCTCATATACCCAGGAGAATTACTGAAGCTTAGGCGGGTGGGGTTTAGTATCAGGGGGGAGGGATTATACCCCCATCCCAAGTGCTCACTTATTGGGTACTTGGACCCTTTCGGGATTGGATTCAGATCGAGGTTGCAAGGGGCACCTTGCAAAAGCACAAAAGAAGAGTGCCCCCCCCATTGGGGGGGAGGGTTTGAGTTGTTCATGGATCCTGGGTGTCTGGGCCTGGGGCCTGGGCATTGGAAGAAGCATCCAGCTGCAAGGGCATGGTTGTTCAGAGCCATCACTGTTCAGTGCTTTGGACGCGGACTTTACCATGTCAATGTTTTGGACAGTTGTCCCGTGAATGATGAACATGGCGACACACGAACCAATCAAGCAATTACATGAAATCACTCAAGCCAGGTTATGAACATTGCCTAAGCGGAGTTCCCAAAAAGGGATCCCAGACTCCCTTGAAACCGTGATCTGCAGGACCCAGGCCTTGAGATTTTTTCCACTTCCCTGAGCCCTACCTGGACCCCAAGAGTATGAAACATAATGGCCTTTATGGCTGTTATTATGGGTTTATAGGGCTATTGTGTAACATGCTCTTGGGGCTAAGTAAACCCTAAACCTGGGGCGGCAGCTCGGAACCCATCCAAGTCATGGATGCGTCACAGCCTTGGATGCTTATATGGCTCCCAGGTTCCAGACCCACAGGGTTTAGGGTTTACACACGACCCCTGAGGGTGCAAGTACCCAATAATCATATACTTACCCAGATACTACAATTACTAATACCAACATCCCAAGTACCTAAATATTGGGTTCATGGGCCCTTAGGGGATACTCACTCGCCGAAAACACCTCGGAACAACACCAGATAGCAGGAGCATGTTCAGCACTTCTGAAAACTTAAAGTAACAAAGGTTTTGTCGCAGCCCACTGTGCTTGCAAGTCAACAGGCCACATTCCTCGCAGATTTTATGGAAGCCTTTTCGGCATGTTTATGGTGTGTGTGTGTATTACTAAAAAAACTTGATCTCTGCATAAAATGGCTTGGGCCCCCTGGCCTAGGAGCCCCCAATTTATTCGTGATCCCCTCCCCCTACCAGTAAGAGTAACCCCCCCCCACCATTCTAATAACCCATCCCCCCGCCTCAATAGAGCAGCATTATGAATGGTTATTCTCAGATGGGCGGGTGGGGTAATTGCATATTAGGGTGCGTGGAGGACTGCAATGCACTGAGACTGAGATCCCGGACCCAGCGCTGCCGTGACTAATCTGCTCATCTTCAACCTTGGAAAGGTGGCTGCCGAAATGAGGACCCTTTGCCTGTAGGACTCACCCAAAATGTAGGGTGCTGTATCAATTACACATGGGCTGACCAAAAAATCGAGATCCTGTCAAGTTGTCAGGTACAGAAAATGGAACCTCCATACTTTGGAGATTTCACAACACGGGGTGCTATTCTGAGTCCCAAGGAGAAGAGGGAATCATGATCGATCAAGCGCGTCCTTAGGGTCCATCTGAACGGTTTGGTCTTAGATTCATCGGGAATATCTCATTGCTGCAGGGGTCATGACGGAGATCTGCGGAATGATATGGGCTGCACGGGGCAGCTTCAAAAGCTTGCAGCGCCCTCTCGGGTGCTGATGTGACGACGCAGCCCTCTGCTTGGAGCTGCAAATAAGATCCATCTTTGACATGTAGCCAGTCGAGCAAAAGGATTCGCTTGGGGTTTGGGGTCCGGTTCGGATGTCCGAGCAATGAAAGTATGTAAGGGCTTGTATGTGCTTGACAACACAGAACTACAAGAAGTTGTGTTTCACCCAGAACAAAGGGCAATCTATCATGAACCCCCCATATAACATCCCCTGGTATCACTGCCCATGCAATCGCAAATGGAGCTCGCACAATTCCAGCACGCTCGCCCGTCAAGATCCGTGAGAACTTGCGTAGAACCCCTCTATCACGCTAGAACAGCCCAGCTGTTTAGGCATCTCTGAAGACACCTACCAAACCCAGGTAGACGCACCTCGATATACTATCCCAAAAGCCTTCAAAAAAGGCCCCACAAAAGCACCTCGGCTCAGCCAAAAGACAGCTGGAGACCCCGAGTCACCAGGTGGTTTTTCTCCATGACACCCATGGCTCCCTGGGCGTCGAATCTAGTTTGTTATTTTGCTGTTGCTGTTCGACTGTCTCAGAGGAATTTCAGGGCACTTTGAGAGGGGAGGAGCAGAGGAAGTAGTTCAACTTGTTTGGGAGTTTCTCTGAATCCGCAGCAACTCAGCAACACAAATCCTGATAAACCTCCAAACATGATTTCGTGAACCAGCTCAGCCTCAAACCCTAAGCCCCAAACCCTAAACCCCATAACAACCCTCCAGGCCCCAGGCCCGGTGCGGTCCCAGCACCTGCTGCGCCAGCGGCGCGCCAACGCCAGGGCCGCGTGCGAAGAACCTCAGGGACTGCCGAAGGGTCTGCAGGGCTCTTAAAGGGAATTGGGCTACAGAATGTGGTGCTGCATCGGCATGATATAAACGGTTCCATGGGAATTAATATTAGGTAGGGCTTTTGGAGGTGTTTTGTAGGGCTTGGGGGTTGAATGGGTTTTGCAGGTGTCCTGTGTGCAGATTCAAGAAGGTTTCATGTGCAGGGAGCGATGCGAGGGGTCATACGGGTTGAGAGAACAAGAGTGAACTCATTGGAGACGAGGCAGCTTGTGTTTGGCCTGAAAGTCCTGCATGTGAGCCAACATATACAGATGCCGTGAAGTCATAGTGTAATAGCGCTGCTTCAAATATGAATAGAACTCAAAGGACGGCTACGGCAACCATTACATGTGTCTTGTAGATGTAAGCTTTATGTCTTGTAGATGTAAGCTGGAATCTGCCGCAGGTCAAGTAGTGTGCGGCCATTCCGCTCCACACTGGTACTGCGACACTAGATTTCAGAGTCTCAAGATTCCCCGAAATATGAAGCTCCTCTTGAAGGGCTCTGCAATTTTAGGGAATAACTCAAGAAACCGATCGTCATCCCATTTTGAAAACTCCCATGTAACTTTTCTTCGCACTCTCACAACCAAGACAGAGATCTTGCTGGCGTCTGGTCACAATGGTATCTTGTCAGTGCAAGTGGCACCCTCCCTTCAGAAAACCTTACGAAGGCTGTTGTCCTTTTGGTTTTCGTGCACTAGAAAGGAAAGGCAGCTCAGACCTGCAAAGGGATGCAGTGGCACAAAAAAGCCTTGCTACTGGCAATCAAAATCCTCAATCTAAAGCTGTCATGTCTAAAGCCGTCCCAATACAAGCTGTCACATAAGGTTCTCAAATACCTGAACCCCCCAAAAGTATGTAGAATAATGGCCTTTGCGAGCTATTTTGGTGGATATTGGGCTATTATTTTGCCTACTTATGGGGTCCAGGTAATGTAAACCCCTCCTTAAGACACCCCCTCCCCTTAATGGTGATTATCCTCGGGATCCGAATATTAAGGCCCTTAATAGCTGGGTGTTTTTATAGGTGGGTGTTCATGAATCATGGGTCTACATTAGGCTGAACCCGGCACAATTGCGAAGAAGGAACTTGGGGGCATCGTGGAGGTCCATCTGCTCGTAGTAAATCCTGACAAAACTCAGCATGGAGACGTTTAGGGTTTAGGGTATGGGGTTTAGGGTGTAGAGTATAGGGTTTAGGGTATAGGTTTTAGGGTTTAGGACCATATTCCGGGTACACTACCCCAATAATGGAGAATCAAATGGAAAATGCATTAAACATGAAATGGAAACTTGGGGTATACAGAGGTTACTTCTGGTTAGCTGGGAATGAAGGAATGGAAAGGAAAATGGAAACTGACTACTATAATGGGTATTACTGTAGGGGGGTACTATAGGGATCCATTCCTTCATTCCGAGCTAGCCAAAGGTAGGTTACGAGCAGATTCATGCTGCCGAAGTGACTGCTCCGTTTTTCTCGCGATGAAGGTCCAGTTGAACTCATTCAGCGCCTCACAGGGTGAGGGTAAGCTTCCTCCGTGGAGCTTGGGGCAGGGAGCGCTTTGTGTGTGGTATGCTTCATAAACGACTATTTGGCTGTCAACCTGCAAGTGTCTTCTGAGACGGGCCTGCGTGGGGTTCAATGTTTGCTTGG